ACCAAAAAAAAAACAATTAACAACTTTCTGCTTTCTCCAAAAGACCCATTTGAGCTTCAAAGATAAACACAGACTCAAAGCAAATCATTGTGAAAAATACTACAATAAATGGGACCCCAAAGAGTCAGAGACAGCCATATACATCAGATAAAATAGATTTTCAGATAAAAATGGTACGAACAAACAGGGATGGATGTGATCTAATGATGAAAATATCAATACATCAGGAAGACATACCGGTCATCAGTTTAGGTGTAACAAATTAAGAAGCATCAAAATACATAAGGCAAGTCTAAACTAGCAATACAGTAGTAGTAGTGGAGTTCAGCACTGTTTCTGAAATTTATATGGGAGCAAAAAATACCCTGAATAGTTAAAACAACCATGACAAAAAAGAATGAAGGGGGTCAAATCCCCAGACTTTAAAATATATTACAAAATGTGGTAACAAATTACCCAATAAAGATATATTACAAAGCTATTATTATCAAAACAGTATGGTGCTAGAATAAAGTAGACACACAGAGGAATAGAATGAGACCAAGAGCCCAGAAATAATCCCCTACTTCTATGGACAGTTAATTTATCACAAAGGTGCCAAGTATATACAATAAAGAAAGGAAAGTCTCTTGAACAGGTGGTGTCGGGAAAACTGTACAGCTATAATAAAAAGGTTGAAACTAGACCACCATCTAAGTATGCACAAAAATTAAATCAAAATTAAGATTTGGATTGAAGACCTGCAACCATAAAAAGCATAGAAGAAAATAAAGGCAAAATAATCAACATCATATGCTTCAGTGATATATCTGGGGTTTTGACTCAAAAGGCAAGGGAAACAAATGTAAAAATAAACAAATGGTACTACACCAAATTTTAAAGCTTTTGCATAGCAAAACAATGGTAAAAATGAAAAGTATCTTATTTAGTTGGAGAATGTATTTGCTCATAGATGAGGGTTTAATTTCCAAGATTTACAAAGAACTCACAATTCAACAAGAAAATAACCTATCAAAAATGGTCAGAAGAGCTAAACAGACACTTCTTCAAAGAAGACATACAGATGATCAGCAGGCACATGGAAAAATACTCACCATCACGTATCACCAGGGAACTGCAAATCAAAGTGTCTCTTAATCAAAGTGCCTCTTAGGTACATACTCTAACAACCTGTCTTTGGTCCCAGCAATTTAAACAAATTAAAAAGTGTCAACCTGGGCTTCCCCAGTGGTGCAGTGGGTTGAATGCAGTGCTGTGAAGCTGTCCGCAGCCTCTGCAGTGCCAGTTCGATTCCTGGCCGGTCAGGGAGCTACCCACATGGTGCGGCAGACCTCTCCTGTCTCACCCGCTGCTCCCCTCGGCAGTGTATTTCAGTCAGTCTGCCTGTTCTGCTCCCCACTCTGTCTCCGGTGAATCCTCTCACCCTCCCACGCCTCTGGCCTGTACCCCAGCTCTTGTAAAAAAAAAAAATTAAAGTGTCAACCTGGGGAGGAGGAAAGAATTCTGAGGTGTATGCTCAAAAGTATGACAGAAATGAGTTTGGTCTTTTGCTTTGATAGTACTTTTAATTTTAAAATATTTGTAAGTATACATTGTTTTGCAATATATCTCTTTTCAATCTTTCTGTCCTAGCTAGACCCTATTCTTTCATTATCCTGTGCCTAAAGTCACAAATGTCCATTCTCCAAAAATGAAAGAAAAATTCATTAACTTAGGTATATATTATTGCTATTATGATTATTGTATACATTGAAAAAATAACCACCACTATATAAAGGAAAAGAAAAACTGTATTTTCAGAGTTGAATGTTGAGGGTTAACCTAGGAAAAGACAGTCTAGTAAGAACATATGTCCTACCCAACTGCTTTCCCAACTCTCCCATCCCCCTAAGATCCATCCTATACATTATCAGTTTGGTCTTACAAGATGTTTTTGATGGATATTTAGAGTAAGTCCTTCAAAATTCATTTTTCTTTAAATTGCAAGATTCTTTGTTCTATTTTTCACTCCTGAATGTATTGCCTCCTTTGCAGTGACTATATAATCTCTTTGGAGTGACTATATGGTTAGGTTTCATTATTCTACATCTGGTCCTCAGTCCACAGGTAATTGAAGTTTGTCTTTTCATAATTTCTCTTTTGTCAATTTAATTATTTTCCCACTGAAGTATCTAAAAGAGGAAGTTTAGCTCCCTCCACAACAAAATCAGCATTTTAGTTTTTTCTACATCTTTATTATGGAATCTTACCCCACCCCAGTTAGGCTTTGCAAACTACTTGAGATTTTACTTCCCATTGAATTTCATTTTGACTCTATTACTGGCAGTGTTGAGAGACTTAAGTATATTCCCTTGTGGGGTGGCTTTAAGGGGTGGTCACTACCTCTAGTTCTCAAAATGAGTTATGGGACCTGCAGCAATAACATCATCTGGGAACTTGTCAGAGATGAAACCTGATCCCCACAAGCACAAGCTATGGGACATGAGTGACTTTGTCACAGCCCACTGCCTGGATGGTGGCACCTGGAGGCTGCTGAGTGGCATCAGTGGCAGGAGTGGGGTATTTCCACTAGTGTCTGGAGCAAACTGCCTGCAGGCAGTCCTTCCCTCAGCGTCAGCCAGGTTTGAGTCCTGGAGCCCCTAAAGCTCCTCTAGTGGCGGCAGGGCGTGGCCACCTAGAGTGTTGCCTCTGGGCGGCACCCAAGTTGTCCTTCAGCAGGGAGGCTGCAGGGTAGCTATATGGAGGCCCAATTTAGTAAGCCAGGTTTGAGTGCCAGAGCCATTCCATCTCAAGGCTCCAGTGCCTGGGCCCAGAAGCTGCTGTGGGCAGTGCAGGCAGCAGTGGGTGGTTGGCATTTTACCACATGCTACCAGTGGCTCCACTGGGGCTCAGGTGACTTGATTTTCTATATTTTAGAAAGAGTGAGTTAGAAAGAGTGGTTTTCACTATCACTCCTGGTTCTCCTGCTCTGGTGCCCCAGGGCATCATTTCCATTGGGGCTGCAGTGGCAAGGTTGCCCTGCACTGGTGCAATCTCTAGCATGGGAGGCAACGAAAGCCCCATAGCTCTTGGTTCAAGGCTGCAGGGAGGAGCATGGGGACCCCACTGGGCCAGCCACAGGCAGTAGAGAGGTCAGTGGAATCCCAGGCAAACATGGCAGGCTCCCAGTAAAGCCTACGTTGCTGTAGTTGGGACTCCTGTCCCAGTAGAGCTGCAGGCCTCCCATTCCCCCTTGTATGTGGTTATACCCAGTCCAACTGAAGGGGCACCAGGTGCCCCACTGAGGCCAGCTCTGTCTGTGGTTCCTCACAGTCCACCAGCAACAGAATGGACCAATCAGGTGTGAGCTAAATGAACCAATCAGGTTCAATTAGGGCATTAATTAATTATTCAGATAAAGAATAAAAAAGGGCTGATTGGTCCTAAATGGCCCAACTGGTCACTTAGGATTTCAAAGGGTCCACTCAGGCTCGTAGGGTGGGGGACCCTGAAAGAAGATATAAGGCAGGGCAGAAGCCATCTTAAGATAATCCTGTAACTGGTCTCCAAAGAAAGAAAAAGGATTAGCAGGTGACCTCTGAAGAAGAGAAGATGAAGAACTTCACAGAGATCTGGTAGCTGTAACTTCCCCTGACCCTGCCTCTAACATCACCCAAAAGGAGCACCAGGGCCCCAGCCCTGGTGTCTCAAAGAGCTGTTTCTTGTTGGTGTGAGCCAGCAACAGTTGGCTGTTGCCTCTGGTGCTGTCCAGCCTGTCAGACTGTTGCTGTGGGCTGCTGCAGTGTCAACTCAGTGACCCCCACCCGTGAGCGCCTCTAGTTGCAGTGAGTTAGCTCCTTACCCACTATTTGCTGTATGCCACGAACTCCAGGCCCTTGTTGATGCGACATCACTATCTTGAATGAGTGGACTCTTGTTTGGGGCTCCTGGACACTGTGGAGACTATCTGGGGTGAGATAGCTGCCCACCTTTGGCCTTAGAAACTGTTTCCTGTTTGTTTAACATACCCCATTGTTCTCTGAGCCTCAAAGGCCTTGCAATTGTGTGAATGGGTGAGAATCCACAGGCAGTGACCAATCCTCTACTGAGCACTGTCCTTTAACTGCTATAGCACCTTTATCGCACTGTTTCAGAAATACAAGTTTTCTAGTTCCAGTGCCCACCTACCAATCCAATTTCTGCCATCTGTTTTTAAGACATTCTCTTGATTTTGATCTCTTATGTTTGAGAAGTTTCTGCTCTGGATACTTATACCAGAACTCTAAATGGTGAAAACAACACCCCTTTCGCAGGCAGTCAACAGCTGCGCTTCCTTAGCTAGTGATCATTGAGTTCAGAGCCTCCTTCCGGCTTTCGTTTTATTTTTATTTAAGGTCAACCGCTGCCTGACCAAACAGACCACAGAACAGCTTTGTTTAAAAAAATAGGAGGCTGACCTCGCCTGAGGCACGAACCAGCAGGTCCTCTGCAGAAGCAGCAAGCCAGCGAAGCGATCTGGCCGGAACGCCCCTTCCGGAGCGCTGGCCCCGGAGGAAGGGGGTGACCAGCGCACCAAGTTTCGCTACATCGAAGTAGCTCGCGGGCGCGGTACGCCCGGCCCCCAAACCCACCCAGGCCGCTTACTTGCAGCCCGGGAAAGGCGGAATGGCAGCGGAGCCCACCTCCCTCCAGAGAGGCCTCCAATCGCAGCGCGCCTTCGTGGGCGCGGCGCTGCCAGGCGGCGTATCCAGGAGAGGCCGCCCCGCGCCCGCCCGTTGCTGCGCGCGGCGCACAGTTGAGACTGAGCGGGCGGTTTTCCCGAGGACCCCGCCCCTCGCCCGCGCGCCGGTGCTTTGCAGCCCGCGGCGCCGTTTAGAGCGTGTGGACGTTTTTTTCCCGGGAAGCCCCGCCCCTCTCCCGGGCACCCGCCAATTGCAGTGCGCGGCGCCGCGCGTGGGGCCGGCGAGGCGGAGCCCGGCCTTCCCGCGCCCGGAGGAGGCGGCGCGCCGGGCCATGTCTGGCGGGCGCCGCGGCGGAGGCCCGAAGGTAGGCTGTGGGGGCGGGTGTGCTCCCGGCCGGGCACGCTCTGCGCGCGCTGTCTCCTCAGGTCCCCCTGCAACCCGGGGCCCGGCCGGCCTGTTCGGCTCCGTTCTCCCCGTCGGCGGGCGGGCCTCCCCGGGGTGGACTGGGTCAAGAGGCGGGCGCTGTGCGGGTGCGGCTCCCTTCTGAAGCTGTTGCTGGTTAAGTCTGTGGGCAGGTGCGGGGCCAGAGTCGGCCCTCAAGGCAGGTGTTCTGTCCAGGTGTGCGGACTAGTCCTGGGGCCCTTGGAGGTCAGGGAGAGAAGCCCGCTGAGGAGCAGAGCGGAGAACTTCCTGGGAAGAGAGAGGGGCCGGGGGTCACCTCCCAGCGGTGGCCAAAATGGGTGACTAGAATTGAGTCTCACCGAGCATGTGAGACGTGACATGTTGTTTGGCAGCTGTCTCTTTTGACTATCCTGATACATACCAAGACAGCAAAGGAAATTGGAACGACTGTCATTTCCCCCCAATCTCTGTGGCTTCACTTTCTTTTATACACCAGTCTTTTCTGAATCATCTTCTGCCTCAGTGGGAGAGGAGTCTGAAGCTAACTGCTGCAAAGTTCGTTATATTAGTGTCTACCACTCTTACATCCTTCACATTTTTAAAGCTCTTTCTAGGTTTCTGGCTTACAAATATGCCTTTTTCATTATACTAACAAACTTTAAAAAAGGAACACAGTTCCTCCTTTCTTGACTCCTTCCTTTTAAAGCCAAGTTTCCTGGAAAAAAAAAGTTGACATATATTGGTTGAGCTTCCTTATCGCTACCTTGGGTTTTTTTTTTGCTTCTAGGATATCATTGATTATCAGACAGTATCAATCAGACTTATCTAAGATACTTCATTTCAGAAATATTAAAGTTTGGTAAGAGAATGAAGGAAATATATGAAATTGTTCAATAATAGTTATTTACCTGGTCACTGTAACCTTTTACATTTACCACCTGCTTTTGGGCAGGTGGTAACGTCATTGGATGTTGCTATTTTGATTTTCTTCTTATCTTGCAATAACTCATCTAGTAATAGTAATTTACCTCATGCTTCCTCTCACTTTATAAGTTTATTCTGGGCAGTCTCATACATCGATGTTAGCTGTAGCTGTCTCTGCTGTATAGATGACCTACAGATCTGTATTTGACCTTTCCCTTGGGCTCAGTGTATCATAAAATCACCATTCTTTCACCCTCTCACCATTAGTCCACTAGACTCTAGTTACAGGCCCTTGCCCAAAAGAGTGGGCCCTTTGACCTTTGGGAAAAGTCTTCATCAACCAGTGCTAAGTGTAGTTGAAGCAGGAAGCAGGCAAGCCTTCATTACAGATTCATGCACGAGGAAACGAATGATGGAAAGGAGAATTCAACCAGGTTCTCAAAGGGAGCATCATTTTTTGTTCTGGGTTGGGCTACACCGTGGCAAACTGGTTTTTGGAATAATTGTACATGTAGGCTCTTAGCTTTCTCCTTCCAGGAATTGTGAGGCAATCATTGGTCAAGATCTGACACTTTTTGTCTAGTATGCACCGTAATGTTAGTGTTTGGGTCAGATTATTTGGACAGGTTTTTGGGACAGAGCTCCATTCGGTCTACTTGTTCAAATAGGACTCGCTGTACCTCTTGTCCTTTTGACTTGCAATTTATTTAACCTGAAACTGTTGCCAGTTAAGTCTGTGGGTAGACCAATTGCAGTTACGGGTACAATTGGCGGGGTTGGTGAGGCGGCCCATCTCATTCCCACCTGAGATATTTTAACTTCTTAATCTTAAAGAGATTTTTGTGTGTGTGCCATTCTCAAGCTATATTTATTTATTTTATTTTATTTACATATTTTTATATCATTGTTTATGCTCTTTTTTTGTTAAAGATTTATTTATGCATTAAAGAGCTGGGGTATAGGACAGAGGTGGGGGTTTGTGAGAGGATTCACCAGAGACCGAGTTGGGAGCAGAACATGCAGATGTATTGAAATACACTGCTGAGGGGAGCAGCGGGCAAGGCAGGACAGGTCTGCTGTGCCACATGGGTCACCTCCCTGGCTAGCCAGGGAATCAAACTCGTGCTGCGGTGGCTGGCGATAGCTTGATAGCACTGTCTTGTGCCACCAGGGAGGCCCATGTTGTTCCTTAACCTCTTAAGGAAATTTCCATAACCTCTTAAGGAAATTTTAAACGATGGTCTCATCTTCTGTAGTTACTTCCTGTTGGCTAGGGTTGTTGTCCTTAAGTCATTGAAGAGTGAAAATATCTCACTGTTTTAGCAAATGGTAGCAATGGTTGCCATCCTGTCACAGGGCAACCCTGATATGAAATGGAATGTCTGACTGTGGGTCCTCACCGGTGCACTTACAATATACTCAACTGCAGGTACACACAAAAAGGTTAATAAAGGGTTTATTTACAAAAGAAGGGGAAATGAAGAAATTAATAACTCAGGAAGAAAGAGAGGGAGATAAATTTGTGAATGTGTCCTACCAGTTCCACTGAGCTGGAATCCCAATAGCACGCTGAGAACCGGTGAAAAACTAAGAGACCCCTGAAAGCCCATATGTCTTTTTATATACCAGACCTGGCTGCTTAACTCCACCCTCAGTTTCCAGTAATCCTCCCTTTAGTGCTGATGACATTATGAGATTTGTAGTTCTTGGTGTCTTGGATATCTTTGGCCTGGAGTGGGGTGTGTAGTTCATAAAACCTATTTGTGGAGTTTATTCAGGACATCCTTCCCCTCTAACAATCCTAGGTATGGATGGGTTGGAAACCTTGTGTCAACATCCATTTAGTGTGGAACTATTAGAACCTGGAAGATATAAACTTTGTCAACAGGTTAAATAGGCAGGATTTGAACTGTGATGTGGGATGACAAAGTTCATAACTCATTTGCCTGTGGCTTGAAACCATTTTAAACATTGGCAGACCACACTTTACAGCCATTTATCCATCTTGTAGAAAAGTTTCAGTTTTCAGTAATTCAGTTCAAAAGATTTTTTTTAAAGATTTATTTATTTATGCATACAAGAACTGGGGTACAGGCCAGAGGCGTGTGGAAGGGGATGAGAGGATTCATCAGAGACAGAGTGGGAAACAGAACAGGCAGATAGACTGACATACACTGCTGAGGGGAGCAGCGGGCAAGACAGGAGAAGTCTGCAGTGCCATGTGGGTAGCTCCCTGGCTAGGGATTGAACCCGTGCTGCAGTGGCTGCAGTCAGCTCCACAGGCTGCGTCTCAACCCTTTGAACCACCAGGGAGACCCCAGTTCAAAAGATTTCTAAAGAAGCAAGCTAGACATTTAGAAAGATAACCGGTTCAATTTACAGTTAAAACACAACATGTAAAATAAAAAGACGAGAAATTGATATCCAAAAAAATGTTACTGAAGCATAATATCTCTCCACCCGCACTCTAGCTCTACCAAATAATTGCAGCAAAACTCATTTACAAGTTAAGCCTAGTTTTACTAAACTTGGCTAGTTGTGCATGAATACAACAAAAGTAAAATATAAGTACATAATTTTAATGAAAATCTCCCTTTAGTTAGAATTTACACAAGGAATTTCAGATTGAGGTCTTAACACTCAGCGACTCAGGGCAGTGGATTGTGCCAAGGTCTCACTCTTAGACCCTGTTTCTTTGGGTAAGTTACTCCTCAAGATATGCCAAGAGATGACTTTCCTTGTCCTTTTCCTGATAGACCTGGAAACTTGAAAACAAGGTATCAAGCTGTCTTTTTCCTGAGGGCTCTTAATTGCTAAATCCAATCAAAGCCTCAGACTTTGACTATTCTATTACAGAGGAAAAAGGGAAGTCTTATTGGATTTATGTAAAATAACACATTGCCACAATAAATACACATGTATTAAAAGTTCACATTTTGGGATGGGAGAGAGAAATGCATATGTTTCAAGTTCTGCTCACAAAAGATGAATACAGCTCAAGGAGATATTTTCTGAAAATAAAAAGCAAAATGTTACAAATTAATTTCAAAAAGTTATAAAATTGTATTATTTCTCAATTATTGAGTCTCATGTAGCAGATCTCAATATTTTGTTAACCAATTTTCCTAAGTCCAGTTTTTTTATAGTCTCTGTACTTTTTTTCAGTTCCATGGCAAATCTTTATTTTTCCATACTATCAATCTTCTGTGATTGTTCTGAAAACGAAATTTAGTAAGTTACCTCTGTAAATAAAAAAAGGTTTAAATCTGTTTATAAAGCAATACACAAGGATGTTTGCTCACTGTTGTGATATACGTATTGTAGAATAATCAAAATTGACCAATAATATTAAACTAGAATATATTAGGCATTAAGAGGTTTTATATGTTTTAGAACTCTTCTATTGATTTACATACACGCTGAGGTGTGACCATTTCTCCCTGTGACTGTGCGTCCCATGAATTTTCAGTATACCAAGCTCTGGTCAGGGTTTTATGCCATCACTAGTTTGACCCGCCCTTCTGGATATCTAGCCAGTGTTCTAGAAAGTTGGGGTTTCAGTCTGCCTTTACTGTAGATGTCTATGGTCTCAACCAGTGCGTAAAGGGAGGAGAGATGGGGGCATCCCACTCACTTTGAGTACATTAGACTCGGGGTACTAATCTTTTAACCTGTCTTATCATGGGTGTCTATTATAACTGTACATCCAAGCAGACCCTAGGTTGCCTGTTGTCAAAGCACCCTAACCCTAAGGTTTCAAGAAAGGGCACATAAAGGGAGCAAGAAGAAGAAGTAAGAAAAATGTTACCTTGTGGAGAATCCAGTCCCCCACAGCCAGAGGGTGCCAGAGATTTACTGATGGTTCTGAAACTGGAGCAGATGTCCAGGCAGCTGCTTATTGGGAACAAAGGAGCTCCCCATGCAACTTGATTGCAATGACATGTCACTCAGTTTGAGGTAGCCAAATCTCTTGCCCTGTACCCATTACTTGGCAACATAGCCAGGGATAAGTGGTTCAGGCTATTACTTGTAGCAAGC